CAGCAGGACTCTTTAAAATCTCTTCAACGTTCAATGTAAATATGTATGAAGGTGAATAAATAAAGGTTAAAATCCCAAGCATTTTACATTAAGCCATTTTTATGATTGTTTACAGTGAGTGCAATGGCTTAACATTCATCTATTCAGAAAAGCTAATACACTAAATTCCAAATGGTCTGGATCTACTAAAACGAGTGCTGAATGTTAAAGTAACAACAATCAACAGAAATGGTACAGTAAGTTGTTAGAACAAAATTTATCATCTGCTTAATAGTGTAATTGGTTTAGATAAGTATTTAGTTTTACTTTCCTCTTTTTGACATGCATGTCTCTTTGAAAACATGGTTGGAAATATTGCATGTATACAATTGATTTAATAATACTTACAAGCAGAAAAATATCACAAAAAGTCTCTTCTCTCATCATGGGCACTTGTTCCAAAAATCCTCTCTTTTTTCTCAAGCTCACCTCAATTGACTTTGGGGTCATTTACCATAGTCTAACCACTTCACAAAGGTTGTTGATACATTTTTAATAAAAATTAACCCTTTGTAGTTCATTTTTAGAATTATGCCCATCCTTAAAAGAAAAACACAAACTTAAGTAGAGAGTAATTTAAACAAAAACATCACTGTTAAGTTCATGCCCAATGCACTCATTTTGTTGAATTAAACTAATCAGAGTAACAGTTCACCTTGAAGCCAGGATCTCTGGAACTTTTCGTTTCCTCTTGAGAGAACCCATGTTTTCTGAAAGTACTGGGAGATATATCTATCCTCCTAAAAGTAAAGAAAGTACACAGATCAAATACAGTCTTACAAGTAAGAAGAATCTGAAGTTTTTAGATCAAATGTCATTTAAAGCAGACCAATATTTCCACAGGTACATAAAACTTCCTGTATTTTTCAATTTTTTTGATGAAGCTAGTTATATACTTGAATTATTCTGGAATTACTCCAGAGTTTAAGAGAAGGAAATCTGAAATACCCCTGAAATGTTAAGACAGTGTCTAATGGCACCAACCTGTGGATTTCAGGGCTCTTTTTGTTTTTAGCTGCATCTTGTTCCATTCCTTTCTTTAGATATTTGGTAAAGCGTTCATTCAGTGTCATTCCTGAAGACCCAAAATGATGCTCTGTTGGGGATTTGATTAAACAATGCCAAAATATTAATATCATCTTTGTAAAAAGACAAAGCGCATCAGCCCTACAGCTTCGTCAAATTCAGATGCAGGGCACGTGAAGCACACTGGTGATGAGCTCTAACTAATGCTGCCGACAAATTTCAGTTTTAATCTTGAAATTAACAATTTATTCAAGTCAGTCACAAGTTCACTAGAAGACACAAATTCTAAGTCACAGTCTCTCTGAATATTGCTCAGGTAAAAAACAAGAACATCTCTTCTGCCTTTCCAGAAGAAAAGTTATTTATGCAAATAAAGAAGACTCGTGACCAGGCTTGTATTCTCACCTATGACATGACCTGCTGGAAAACAACTCTTTCAGCATTAACAAGAGCGCGGAAAGCTTTATTTGGACAAGGGAGGAGTGAACCTTCATCTGAGTATACATGGACTACTGACCTACCTCTTACGTGATGGACTATAGTCACTATATGTTGAGCAAACAGTTCAGAAGGACTTCGCTGAGACTGAGCAGACTGAATATGATGGAAAATTGAACGAAATTCTTGCTCTTTTTTGTTGCTGTGCACAAGGTCACGACACAGCTTGCGTTCCTGAGCCAATATGCCACTTGGACTAGAAAAAGAACAGACCACATGAAACAGAAGAGCAGGGTAAAGGGGAGCAGCATTAATGTTTCAGACATTGGAAGCTGACTGGATTTTTTTTTATTAGTATTATGAAGGCACCTAAGAACATCCAATAGCATGAGCAGGACACTTGTTTAAACATCTGATCTAGGTTACTGTAATAATTCAGGTCACTTGTTACTCTGTATTTGGACGGCTGTGAGGGTGTTAAACCCTGACACCCTGTGAAACACAAGCCCATTCTTACACCACTAGCTGTCTGTGATCTTTTTTCTACTATTCCTAAATTCTAGATTAACTTCTAAGATCCCACAGAGCACATTACACTTACTGGCTACTGCTGTACAAATGTATTTTCTGGAAATTGTTTAGCCTTCATGCTATACTTTCACCCTCCGCAAACTGGTAACCCCTCTAACCTCCCACCACAAAAAAAAAGTCACACAAGTAGTGTAATGACAGAAAAAATTAATCTTTATCTCCAAAAAAATGCAAATTGTGATGCAATATTATTCAGCCTTCCTCACACTCGGCAAGCATATGAGGGTCTCAGGAAAAGAAACAGACAAAAATCACTATTTAGACTTCTCAAAAAATAGCAAATACTTACCGTGCAAGATCTTCATCAAAGGAATCCATTCGAATATTGACCTGGGCCTCACGAGTAATGGAAAATGAGGATTTGCCAGGAGCTAGCCCCTCTCCTTTGGTGCCTGGTTTCTCCTTTACCTCAGAAGCCTTCCTTGGAGGGGGGGAAGAACTTTTTTCCTGGCTTGATTTGCAAGTGGTCACTCTAAAATTCTTTTCAGGAACAAACCCCCTGTGACCTGGTTCAGCTCTCTTGGATGCTGGTCTCTCTTCTTTTTTTGATCTTTCAGAATAGCTTTCCTCCTCCATTTCATCAGGTTTCCTTTGCTTCTCTTTTCCAGGTGGCAAGAACACCACGCCTTCCCATTTTCCTGGTCTATCCTCTTCTTGACTTTTGCTTGAAGTTGCTACGACTTTAGACATAAATTTGGGCTCATCATCAAATTCAGAATCTTTTCGGCCCTTTGCCTTGTCTTTCTTTTCCTGCTCATCTGTCTCCTCTTTGCCATAATGAGTTTCCTTGTGGAACTCCGGGACCTTTAGCTTGTCGAAGTCATCCCGGAACTTGTAGCGCTTGGGTGACTGGCTGCCACGGTATCCCTTCTCGGAGTCGGCTTTGGATGCATAGGAGTCAGATTTTGCCTTTCCATCTGCTGATCCCAACTCAGAGAAATTCCCTTTTTCTTTATTTTTGTCTTTTTCAACATTTGTTACTTTCTGTTCTTTGTCTTTCCCATTCTCAGTCTTCTGCTCTTCTAAATACCTGTTCATAAAACAGACATTAAAACAGTTCTCTTATTAAAACTCAAAGAGGTTAATACTTCAGTTGAAAGAAGTGAAATTTTAGAGAACACCAAGCTATGCATATACAGAAAGCTGCCTCTAGGCCCTAAAATAGTTAAAATGTAAAGCAGATTACTTGGCCTGGATTTAGGCTTTTCGTTCTCAATAAATTCAGCAAATGTAGAAGAAAATGGATATGCAGAACTGATGAAGTGAGGCTTAAGAACAAATGAAAAAACAACTTACCCACAGATTCATTTTAAGGAAAACAGGAACATCTTACCCAATTGGTTTATTTACTTACAAACCTGGTTCAGGAGAACAACACATCAAAACTTTCAAACTGGGCTGTTTTGCTTTAAACAACACACTGGAAATAAAAGCCTCAAAAGCTACTTCAAATTTTGGATGCAAGTTTCATAGGTAAGCTAAGTATTTCATGACAGACTGTAAATACAAATAAAAGCAAAAAGGTTAACAGAGGAGAGAATGTATTTTGCTGGGAGAAGACAAAACACTTCTACTAAGAACAATTTATCATAAGCTAGTTTAAAGCATCAGAACTATGTTTTAAAGCATTCATTAAGGAAAACCCTACTTTTGAGGAAACAGCAATAAAGCCCAAGGACATTAGTTCAGTGCTTTGAAAAGCCCAAGACTTACAGCTTTTTTTTTTATTTTTAAATTTCAGATATCCTTGATATAGAATCAGTCCAAAATAACTTTAAAAATAATAAAGAAGAGATTTAAAAGTGCTCGTGAATGCTACCTTGTCTTTTAAAACAGAGTGTCACCTTCAGGCACAAATCTGCAGTAGACTAACCAAGCACACACAGTAAGTTGATGTCTTCTGTATGAAAGGAGGTCTTAATTTTAGTGATGATCTTGGTGCTTTAGTTTCTCATACCACCCACATACACAGGCACAAGCACTGCAACTAAACCTGCCTTAGGCTACTTGCAGGAGGGCATGCAGTAAGATTTAATTAGATTTTGCTAATTTATAATATCTAATGCGATTCAAGAATGCAATACTAAAAAAATGTCTTTAACTGAAAAGTAAATAACTTGAAAATAACTTCCAGTATGCAGTTAGGTTGCTAGAAAATCTCATCAGGCACATCTTCACTTCAAGTGTTCATGAGCTATTAGCATTTTTGCAGGGAACCTATACAATCTTTAGAACCATCCAAGTCAGAAAACCAACTCCAACTTCCTACAGTACAGGGCCAGATCTGTATTTTTTTTCTATACTTTAGACAGTACCAGGCCCAAACAGCTGGCTAGCACAGCACCCTGCACATACTGCGGCCTCTTTCCAGCTGGAGCCCGCGCACACGCTGAGAAGCCTTGCAGCGCTCATGGAGCGCACCTACACATGCAAGCTGGCCTGTCAAAACACCACAGCACAACAAAACATATCACTTGCCTTTTTGAGAAGGCTCCTCCTCCAGGAGCTGTGGTTTCCTCCTTCTGAGATGTACTGTAAATCGAACTGATTGGTGTTGGACTTTTGCAAACAGGGCTCTTCCTTGTCGGGCTCAAACCTGCCGAGCCATGGTCAAATGGACTCTGATGAGAGCCTGCCTGAAAGGAGGTGCTGCTGCTTTGTAAAGCAGAGCTCATCTGTGATGGGTTGGACAGTGGAGGGCTCGCCTTTTGCAAGGGACTTGGCCGAGGAGAACGACGCCTCACCACAACTGACTGGAGAGGGCTTTTTAATGCAGGACTGCGTTCCCTTGGGCTAAGTTCAGACACAGAAGCTCTTGACGTTGAACTTGTACCATAGGTGGTCATATCTTGCCATGGTTTTGATCCCTCAGATGCCTTGACGTCTTGAGTCACTGCTCCTGAAAATGGCTGTTCCTTAGACTCATCACTTTGATTATCTCCTGCAGCCTGAGGTGGCCGGGCATCCTTGGAAGATGACTTTTTCTCCTTTCCAGATTTACGCTTGGAAGACTCAACTCGGCTATGATTTGAGGAAGACCGGGAAGAGGAAGACCTCCTTGACCGATCAGAAGATGACTTATCAGAATTTCTCGAATGACTTCTAGACCTTGGTGAAGGAGACCTTCTCTTGGGTGAACGAGAGCGTGACCTCCCTCTACGAGGGCTATACGCTTGGCGATAATTTTGCCAGTTTGACCTATAATTCCCATATCCTCCTCGGTTATACTGGCCCCATGGATAAAACCCTCGATTTCGGCCACGAAAATAATACGGTCTCCTGTATCCTCTATTGTGACCTCTGAAATCCCGGTTCTGATAGACTCTCGGATGGTTCCTTTCTCTGTTATGAGATGGAGAATATGATCTTGAACGGGACCTAGAACTGATGAAAGAAAAAAATTACACAAATGTTTTAAAGTTTATTCTTCTGTCACAACTTTTTATTCAAAGCCTTATAAAAAAGAATTTGAAAAATTCATTTCTAAGCTTTCAAAAATAATGTCTTTGGCTTACCCTCATCCAACTGAGATATTACACTTTGACCTCCATAAACTGCAGTGGAAATAACTTGTATCTGTGATACTGTCAAACAAATATTTGACTTCAGGATCATTGCAGAGACCATGAGTACACGTTACTCTTCATTTCTCTAGGATGAACATGGATGCTATCCAGCTTCAGAAAAAGTGACATATCTCAAGCTTCCAGCCCTTTACAACTCAAAGTCAAGGTTATATCTCATCTTAGATCAACTCCACAAAGAAGTATTTCTTTATGCATGTCATGCTACCATTATTGGGACAGATCCAAAATCTTCCCGTTGTGTCCCTCAGTTACCTCATGTGGTTTTGAAATTCTGATAATCAAGATGACACCCCACTTCTTTGCCAGGTGAGTTAAATAAACTGCTCCGCCTCAACATGAGAGGGGCAGTACTGGAGCAAACGGCACACTGCTCTGTAGTTTTACATTTCAAAAAGTGCACCCCTTGCCACAATTCAGAAGCTGGAGCTTCACACAAGCAGGAGAGCAGAGGCATGTGCTCACTCTCCAGCCTGATGCCACGAGATGGCACTGTTCAACGGCCACACCATGCAAGAACAATCATAAAGAACAGAACTGAATACAAGACAAGTACAAAGCCTGCAAAAATACAGATTTAAGTGTCAAACCATTAAAGGTTAATTGTTCCAATAGCCTCTTCCACTGAATTTTTGGAGCTGCAGATGTGCAACTGTTTAAAAGACCCACTGTAGCTCAGGATTAAATGCCAGCTTTACAGTAAGTATTTCACAGCTGCTGGAAAAACACAAACTTCTGCTGAAAGTCTGAGATTTCAGCAACTTTGCATTAGTAAAACAAAGAAAGCATCCAAACTAGAAAGTTTAAATAGAGATTTTTCTAAATGGAATATTAGTAAATAATATTCATTGAAACCACTCCCACAGTCCCTTCTTACATTAAGAGAGTACCAGTCAGCTCTAAAACACTCACCGGTCATACTCCAACAGACATGTACTTCTTTTACATACTGGCAATACACAACTTGCTGCTGCCCCCTCTCCACTCACAGCCCAGCCCCCCATAACATAAAGGAATACAACACTACTGTTAGAATTCCTACAAGATTAGCATATAACCATGCAGAGACAAACTTTAGTTCTGTTTTTTCCGACTATCAAATACATTAGTTTAGCAGAAAACAGTTTAGTCATACTATAGTCATTGCTAGCAAACAGTTTAATGATACTTTTAACATATGCTTCACCCTTTACTTCAAACAATCAAAAAACCTATACAACTTTGAGACACTTCCTCATTCAAAGAATGATGAGAAGGAAAAGCATAGAGGCAGACAGCAGGAGCCAGTTACAAGAAGCCCTAGTCGAAAGCACTAAGAACACATACGCTCCCATTTTCAGACAACTGCTGCATTTGCGATCAATTACCAGCAAGGGACCTGTTGCACACCACTTCCAAAATCTCTTCTATCATTTGACAGGGGCTTGCAGCAGGAAAAGTTCACTACAAAAGTTGCAGAGACTATTTACAAGAAATCTTTAGAAATATCCAGTAAGCATTATACAAAAGAAACCCCACAAGTAATAATTCTCCCAACACTGTCAGCCCCTGTACCTAGCCAGCTAATACACACTGTTCCACTTCTAAAGCACTCACCATTTTACAATAGGTAAAAACGAAAAATAAAGTCATAAAGAAAGCAAGAAATATTAGGCACGTTCCAACATGGCAATACAACTTAGAACAAACAGAAAATCTATCAAATGAAGAGTAGGAGTAAAACCATCTTTGTGGTGTATGCTGAAGTACACAATAGTGGATTTTTATGCCAAGATACCACATGACCTACCTCAGAGAATATCCTAACGCCATACAAGATGACTTGTCTGTACTAACCCCCTCCATTTTGATTCTTTTTTAAAAAAAGGAGTTATTTACAAAGCACAAGTAGATTCAGCAGCAGCACAGAGGAAGCGACCATGTTTACACAGGGTGTCTTTGTTTTCAACTGTCAAAGTTCCTTCATAGCTAGGCAGATATTCCCAAATGACCACGTATCTTCCAGCGTTCCAGCTTCCTTCTGCAAAGAACTCCGTTTGACTCAAGTCTCCGCCTCTAACTTAGTTTTGTCATCCTCCTCTCTCCAACTGTACATTTATTAGAGCCTCTGCATTTAAAAAAATCTCTTTAATTGTTAACAGTTGCATGTGTTTACAGCCTAATGATTTTCAGAATATGTGTTATTAATTTAAGATTAGTGAAAAAGCAGCTGAACACCATTATACCCAGTCCAACGGGAAAGTGTTTGCCAGATACAAAATGCTTAGCTAAAAGAAAAGGAACAAGCAGATCTCCCAATCTCCAGGGAAGAGATTAGCCTTTAACTGGCCTGACCGGAAGCAATTCAGTGAGGTAAGAATAACTATTATGCACACTAATGATTTCTTAAAATTAACTGCAGTGAAGTAACTATCTACTTTATCCACCCAGAACTATCATTTCTGTTAACTGACTCTTGTATGTTGAGGGGAGGGGCAGGGAAACAACCACAAAAATTGCCCCTGCCTTTCATAGCAGGGGACTTGGTAGCGTTAGGTTAACGGTTGGATTTGATGATCTTAAAGGTCTTTTCCAAACTAAATGATTCTATGATAGCAGTATCTTACACCGACATCAAAACTCATTTGAATTCATTTTTAGAAAGAGGAGGAAATCGTACAACATCTGCAAAGGCCCCTCAAAGTCTGGGATCAATTAAATTAAAAGCTAAAAAAGAGCCAAAGATATTTAACAAAACAAAGGAGCATGTTTTGCCATGGACTTTTCCAACTCCTCTTCCCCACTCCGACTACAGAACACACACCTAAACTCTCACAGCAGTAAAGCAAATGTCTGATCAAAAGCATTTCAAATCTCAAATTAATTTCAGGTCAAGATAAAAAGCTATGACTTTTGCACTTTGTCCTGCTTTGGCAATTTCAAACATCATCATTAGCCATGAATACTTTTAATATAGGAAACTGGATCTCAGAGATTGTGCGTACTTAGCACTAGGAAGAGAACAATAGGCTATCCCATCACATACAGCAGCAATTAAGAACTACAGAAGAACATGGAAAAAAAACACACATGCATTTTGACATGGGCTTCTATTAACACCTTTGAGGAAAAACAAAGTACAGAAATCTTCTCTAAGAGCCTAGTCTAAAAATGCTGTAACAATTCGACTGTGCACTGCATCCCTGACAAAATGAGCTATACTAACAAAAACACCTTCTGACTTAACTGTACATTAGATTAGCTGTTAGTATTCATATTAAGGAAAAACACCTGTGCAAAGTAAAATTATTGTTCACCAAAACCATATTACAGAGACCAGATTAAGGGCTCAAAAGAAGTATCTCAACAATGCTGAGAAACAGGCACAATTTATTCTAGCTCATTGAAACCACTTCAAAACAGCTCAGTGCAGCAGGAAACAACCTAAGACACAGGACACTATCTGTCCTAGAACCTAATCAAAGTCTTTCCCTGGAAAAGGACTAAGTGACAAACCATCTGAACAGGATAGAGGAAAAATACAGTCACACCCTTTGGCTTCAGAGCTGCACACACTTACCTAAGTCTGCGTTTTCTTGATCGTGAGACAGAACGAGAACGGGAGCGAGATTTGGAGAAGGAGCGTGAACGTGATCTTGATCCAGACCTCGAACGGGAAGAACGGGATCCAGATTTTGATTTGTTAGTTTTAGACATCTTTGCAAGCACCTGTCAGTTGTACCTGAAGGAAACAGGGAAATAAAGGTATTTGAAAAACAAAGTCACGTGGCAGATTTGAGAGAACAGGCAACATCTGGCAGCCTGACAAACTACAGAGTGACATGAAGCTTGATCAGACTGGAAATATGAATGTTTCAAGTAGCTGCCCAGTAACAGATTAATGGTGTTGGGCTCAGAATAGAAGGTTTATTTCAGTCTAAGGAGGAAATCTGCAAATACAGTAAAAGGCTTTCAACCCAGAGTAATTACAAATTTGAATGCTGCAGTTGAAAGCATCAAGTTAATGCAAAACCCAGGAACACGCAAAGGCCATGCTGTTGGCTTAAGCAAGAACACCTTTACAGAGACAAACAATTTCATTTCAGTCACGTCACTATCGATACAGCCGGCTGTCACTGGTTTAAAGAACAATGACGAAATAAAAGGCTTGCCATCAAAAAAAACCAAAACATCCACCCCCTAAAAGTCTTCTCCAAGCTTTCAGAAAGAATCACAAACAGAAGTGATAATCCAAGATACATGAATGAATATAACCCTTTTTGCACAGATCTGCCTTCCTATGAACACTTGGGTTAAATCCTGGACATACATGTCCTGACTGCTTGTGCAGCGTACGCAGTTGCTATGATCAGTTACAAGTGTGTATCATCCAGTGAGTTCTGTTGCAGCCAAAATAATTCAGATGTCCTTCCAAATATTCACAGAGTCATTCAAATGCTAAAGACAGAAGAGATTACGCTGTAGCATTGACTCGAAATAGCTGTAATTATGAAATGCCTGGGCTATTTTCAGGAATGTATCCAGGTAAAGAGTTCCTTAAAAGATGTTTTAGGGAATAAATAATATATTTATTCCCTAAATATAATTTATATTCCCGACCACATAATCATTTCAGTTCCGCCCTACCCGATCTGTCCTCTTGTAAGCATCAACTTTGTATCAATGAGCAAGATTTTCTAAAGCATTTTCATCATCTCATACCTCCAGGCAAAGAAAAATATTCAGGACTATTAACTTAAGACGGGGGAGTGTCATAGTGTTTACATTTGAAGGTTGGTACAAATTTTTATAAAATTCAAGATGCTGTATTTCTTTCAGCTCATCAGATTTTCCTGTCTGTCTCCAAAAAAGTCAAATGCATAACACAGTTTTGCAGGTTCCAAGGGGGACCTTCACAAACTTTCCCCTTTATGCTACCAACAACCTCCTTTTGTGATCTCCCTCCACAAAGCACAAAGGGCTGTGGAAACAA